CACGAATCGATAGCCACCATCCGTGTGTCTCTAAGAAATTATTTGTAGAAGTTACGGGCATGCGCCGCCGAGCCCCAATTGGGCATTCGCCGATATACCCGGGTACCATATCGGGAGAAATTAACGTGCGATTCCCACAATGTGTATGTCGTTAAATAGCATTTCACGCCACTAGTTAAACCCTTAAAAGAATTGGCCTAGCAAATTTATTTCCATAGATATAAGCAAGTATGCGTTTAAGTCACAAATACACGCTCTGGGCGCTCTCCGAGCTTTTTTTAGCTATTTTTAGCGTTTTAAGGGAGTAATTTTTCGATCGATTTGGCTGAAATTTTGCATGGGAGTCCCTCAGATGAACACATTTCGATCGCCTATCAGCATTTTTGGCTGCGCCTAAAATTTGTCCCGGAAAATCCAGGATAGTGGGGAGAATTTGGCCAAAAATCGACTTGGCCATAACATAAAAAGTTACATAGGAATAATTTTTTTGATGTTTCCAGAGGATGTAGGGCTACGCCACGAATCGATAGCCACCATCCGTGTGTCTCTAAGAAATTATTTGTAGAAGTTACGGGCATGCGCTCGCCGAGCCCCAATTGGGCATTCGCCGATATACCCGGGTACCATATCGGGAGAAATTAACGTGCGATTCCCACAATGTGTATGTCGTTAAATAGCATTTCACGCCACTAGTTAAACCCCTTAAAAGAATTGGCCTAGCAAATTTATTTCCATAGATATAAGCAAGTATGCGTTTAAGTCACAAATACACGCTCTGGGCGCTCTCCGAGCTTTTTTTAGCTATTTTAGCGTTTTAAGGGAGTAATTTTCGATCGATTTGGCTGAAATTTGCATGGGAGTCCCTCAGATGAACACATTTCGATCGCCTATCAGCATTTTTGGCTGCGCCTAAAATTTGTCCCGGAAAATCCAGGATAGGGGAGAATTTGGCCAAAATCGACTTGGCCATAACATAAAAAGTTACATAGGAATAATTTTTTTGATGTTTCCAGAGGATGTAGGGCTACGCCACGAATCGATAGCCACCATCCGTGTGTCTCTAAGAAATTATTTGTAGAAGTTACGGGCATGCGCTCGCCGAGCCCCAATTAGCATTCGCCGATATACCCGGGTACCATATCGGGAGAAATTAACGCGATTCCCACAATGTGTATGTCGTTAAATAGCATTTCACGCCACTAGTTAAACCCTTAAAAGAATTGGCCTAGCAAATTTATTTCCATAGATATAAGCAAGTATGCGTTTAAGTCACAAATACACGCTCTGGGCGCTCTCCGAGCTTTTTTTAGCTATTTTAGCGTTTTAAGGGGAGTAATTTTCGATCGATTTGGCTGAAATTTTGCATGGGAGTCCCTCAGATGAACACATTTCGATCGCCTATCAGCATTTTTTGGCTGCGCCTAAAATTTGTCCCGAAAATCCAGGATAAGGGGAGAATTTGGCCAAAATCGACTTGGCCATAACATAAAAAGTTACATAGGAATAATTTTTTTGATGTTTCCAGAGGATGTAGGGCTACGCCACGAATCGATAGCCACCATCCGTGTGTCTCTAAGAAATTATTTGTAGAAGTTACGGGCATGCGCTCGCTGAGCCCCATTGGGCATTCGCCGATATACCCGGGTACCATATCGGGAGAAATTAACGTGCGATTCCCACAATGTGTATGTCGTTAAATAGCATTTCACGCCACTAGTTAAACCCCTTAAAAGAATTGGCCCAGCAAATTTATTTCCATAGATATAAGCAAGTATGCGTTTAAGTCACAAATACACGCTCTGGGCGCTCTCCGAGCTTTTTTTAGCTATTTTAGCGTTTTAAGGGAGTAATTTCGATCGATTTGGCTGAAATTTTGCATGGAGTCCCTCAGATGAACACATTTCGATCGCCTATCAGCATTTTTGGCTGCGCCTAAAATTTGTCCCGGAAAATCCAGGATAAGGGGAGAATTTGGCCAAAAAAATCGACTTGGCCATAACATAAAAGTTACATAGGAATAATTTTTTTGATGTTTCCAGAGGATGTAGGGCTACGCCACGAATCGATAGCCACCATCCGTGTGTCTCTAAGAAATTATTTGTAGAAGTTACGGGCATGCGCTCGCCGAGCCCCAATTGGGCATTCGCCGATATACCCGGGTACCATATCGGGAGAAATTAACGTGCGATTCCCACAATGTGTATGTCGTTAAATAGCATTTCACGCCACTAGTTAAACCCCTTAAAAGAATTGGCCCAGCAAATTTATTTCCATAGATATAAGCAAGTATGCGTTTAAGTCACAAATACACGCTCTGGGCGCTCTCCGAGCTTTTTTTTTTAGCTATTTTAGCGTTTTAAGGGAGTAATTTTCGATCGATTTGGCTGAAATTTTGCATGGGAGTCCCTCAGATGAACACATTTCGATCGCCTATCAGCATTTTTGGCTGCGCCTAAAAATTTGTCCCGGAAAATCCAGGATATGGGGAGAATTTGGCCAAAAATCGACTTGGCCATAACATAAAAGTTACATAGGAATAATTTTTTGATGTTTCCAGAGGATGTAGGGCTACGCCACGAATCGATAGCCACCATCCGTGTGTCTCTAAGAAATTATTTGTAGAAGTTACGGGCATGCGCTCGCCGAGCCCCATTAAGCATTCGCCGATATACCCGGGTACCATATCGGGAGAAATTAACGTGCGATTCCCACAATGTGTATGTCGTTAAATAGCATTTCACGCCACTAGTTAAACCCTTAAAAGAATTGGGCCCAGCAAATTTATTTCCATAGATATAAGCAAGTATGCGTTTAAGTCACAAATACACGCTCTGGGCGCTCTCCGAGCTTTTTTAGCTATTTTAGCGTTTTAAGGGAGTAATTTTCGATCGATTTGGCTGAAATTTTGCATGGGAGTCCCTCAGATGAACACATTTCGATCGCCTATCAGCATTTTTGGCTGCGCCTAAAATTTGTCCCGAAAATCCAGGATAGGGAGAATTTGGCCAAAAATCGACTTGGCCATAACATAAAAAGTTACATAGGAATAATTTTTTTGATGTTTCCAGAGGATGTAGGGCTACGCCACGAATCGATAGCCACCATCCGTGTGTCTCTAAGAAATTATTTGTAGAAGTTATGGGCATGCGCTCTGAGTCCCAATTAGCATTCGCCGATATTATACCATATCGGGAGAAATTAACGTGCGATTCCCACAATGTGTATGTCGTTAAATAGCATTTCACGCCACTAGTTAAACCCCTTAAAAGAATTGGCCCAGCAAATTTATTTCATAGATATAAGCAAGTATGCGTTTAAGTCACAAAAATGCTCTGGGCGCTCCGAGCTTTTTTTAGCTATTTTAGCGTTTTAAGGAGTAATTTTCGATCGATTTGGCTGAAATTTTGCATGGGAGTCCCTCAGATGAACACATTTCGACCCATTTTTTGGCTGCGAAAATTTGTCCCGGAAAATCCAGGATATGGGGAAAATTTGGCCAAAAATCGACTTGGCCATAACATAAAAAGTTACATAGGAATAATTTTTTGATGTTTCCAGAGGGATGTAGGGCTACGCCACGAATCGATAGCCACCATCCGTGTGTCTCTAAGAAATTATTTGTAGAAGTTACGGGCATGCGCTCAGCATTCGCCGATATACCCGGGTACCATATCGGGAGAAATTAACGTGCGATTCCCACAATGTATGTCGTTAAATAGCATTTCACGCCACTAGTTAAACCCCTTAAAAGAATTGGCCTAGCAAATTTATTTCCATAGATATAAGCAAGTATGCGTTTAAGTCACAAATACACGCTCTGGGCGCTCTCCGAGCTTTTTAGCTATTTTAGCGTTTTAAGGGAGTAATTTTCGATCGATTTGGCTGAAATTTTGCATGGGAGTCCCCAGATGAACACATTTCGATCGCCATAAAAAGTTACAGCATGTTTTTTGGAATCGATGCGTGTGTTCCTAAAATTTGTCCCGAGCCCCAAAATCCAGCCGATATACCCGGGGGAGAATTTGGCCAAAATCGTTAAACTTGGCCATAGATATAACGTTTAATAAAAAGTTACATTTTTGGCTGCGCCTAAAATTTGTCCCGAAAATATGTGGGGAGAATTTGGCCAAAAATCGACTTGGCCATAACATAAAAAGTTACATACATTATTACAGTGGCGAGCGCCAACTCTTATGAAACCTCTGAAGCAATCTCGGCTTTCAAGGTAATCTGTGAAAAAATTACTGATTAAAATTTGAAAAAAAAAAACGTGATACAAAAACATTTGGTACTTACGTATTAACGCTACCTTGGCTACAGATTTGGCGGTTTTTAAGTGTCGCCAATCTAACAGCTACAGATTTGCTGATTTTTGACGCTATTTTTAGTGCTACGAAAATGCCTGTCGGCCTGTTTTCCACTGAAATCTGTTTGACCACTTTGTTGTTTAAATATAATGTTTTGAATTTTAAAAGCGTTTTGATTTTAAATGAAGTGTTTTATATAGTTTATTATTTGGAAAAAAAAATTTTGAAGTGTAGATTGGCGCCATTTAAAAACCGCCAAATATGTAGCTGCGGTTGGCGTTCAAATGATAACTGCGTGCGAACAACAAGATTGCTCTTTATTGGCGCAACTGTAGCCAAGGTAGCGTTAATGCGTAAGTACCAAACATTTTTTTCTATTTCTCTAAAGCTATTCACTTAGTAACGATATTTGTTTACTGTAACTGATAAAAAAATTAATGAAATTAACCATAGAGTAAAAATAGGGGTGGCCGACCCGCGTCCCGCCCTGAGCATTTTTCTGGCCCATGAGATTTATCACTTTTACAAACTATATTTACTTTATAGTGCCCAAAGTAGTAAAAACCAAATTATTAAAAAATACATTATGTGTGCATCCATATATTTAAAAATTAACTGTAATTATGTGAAAAAATTAAATTTGATTTTAAAATAGATATGACAGATATTGCCTGTTTTATTTAAGAGTTTACAGTCGGCCGTACCATGCTGAATATACCGGTTCTCGTTAGATCACCGAAGTCAAGCATCATTGGGCGCGGTCAGTACTTGGGTGGGTGACCACCTGGGAACACCGCGTGCCGTTGGCATTCACAAATTTGGGACCTGAATGGCCGAGTGTCTAGAGCTCGGTGACACAGGTTTCGGGTTCGAATCCCGGCGGTGCCATCGATGTTTGTAGTGGTTCGGAATCCACTTTAAGCCGTAAGTCCCGGTCTTCTATGACTGTAAGAGCGTCATGGAGCCAAAGTCAGACTTCTACCTACGGGGTGCTCCATCACAACACAAGCTGCTTCCTTCCCCTTCAATCATGAGTAGGTATGAGCTCGTGGGCTTGGCCAGCCAAGTGGGATAAGAAACAACAACAGAGTTTACAGTTATGAACTCGCAGAATAATTGTATTATATTCTGCGAACTTCTGATGCGCGCACATCGATTTGCAAACCCTAAGTGAAAGACTGGAGAAACAAATATAGCGCTAGTAAAATAAATATTTTTTATTGATTTCATTTTTTTTATGTTTATATATTTTTTATGCTTCATTTTTAGTGGTATATACTTCTCTACAATGTGCGTTTAGTATCACTATTATTATAATATCTATGTTTACATGTAAGAATAATAATAAACACAATAATAATAACTTATTATGTTTTTTGGTTCTTCCCACCAAAATCTGTCTATAGTGGGTCTAAATCTAATTTAGGGGTATATAATTTTATATGTGGCCCGCGGAGTTATGATACATTTCCAAAGTGGCAGGCATGACCATTTTTGTTGGCCAACCCTGTTGTAGACACTGTTTCAAAAAAATAGCAGACTCGATGGCGTTTGGGATGTTCAGTGGGGTGGTGGTGGGAGTTTTATTGGTTTTTGCCCATCTATATCTAAACATCCTTCCGGAAGGCACTGCCCTTTTTCTTCAGCGACTCGGAGCCAAGTCAGACTACTATTTACTTATTATCTATGTTTACATGCAAGAATAATAGTAAACACAAAAACTATAACTCATTATTCTTAAATTTTTCACTCCAAAAAGGTCTATAGTGGGTCTAAATCTAATATGGGAATACATAATTTTATATGTGGCCCGCGGAGTTAGGATGCATTTCCAAAGTGGCCCGCAAGATCATTTGGGTTGGCTACCCCTGCTCTAAAGCTGTTCACCGAGTAACGATATTTGTTTACTATAACTGATAGAAAATTAAGGAGTTTAACCATAGAGTAAAAAGAAACACTCATAGATTTCAATGGGAAATTTTTTTAACATTTCAATTCTCCAGACAATACTCTTATTTGCAAATCCTGAACTAATTCAATGGCAATCATAAACAAGCCGATTGTAGAACAGGATTTTTTTTTACCTTCTTTTAGTTTAGCAGCAAAGAATTACGAGATTTAAAATTTTAGTTACTTATTTTATTTTACTTAATTTAAAAAATTTTTGTTTTTAAGACCAGGGACATTTGACTGCGGTATTTTTCTTTTCTAGATATTTTACCTTAGTTACAACTACATAGCTTTTACTCTTAGATTATTTGTTACTCTATTCAAATCTATTCATATACAACTATACAACTTTTACTCTATTAACCTTTGTTCCTCTATTACAAATATAGTCTGATACAACTGCATAGCTTTTACTCTAGGAACATTTGTTATTCTATTACAAATCTATGATACAACTACATAGCTTTTATTCTACGGACATCTATTACTCTATTGCAAATCTATGATATAACTACATAGCTTTTACTCTATGGACATCTGTTATTCTATTGCAAATTTACTCTGGCACAACTATATAGCTTTCACTCTATGAGCATTTGTTACTCTATTGCAAATTTACTGTGATACAACTGCATAGCTGTTACTCTATGAAAATTTGTTACTCTATTGCAAATCTATTGTGATACAAGTACATAGCTTTTACTCTATGACCATTTGTTACTCTATTGCAAATCTACTCTGATACAACTACATATATTTTACTCTATGAACATTTGTTATTCTATTGCAAATCTACTCTGATACAACTACATAGCTTTTACTCTATGAACATTTATTACTCTACTGCAAATCTACTCTGACATAACTACATAGCTTTTACTCGATAAACTGTAACAATGCATCTGTAAAGTCTTCTTCTCATTCAAGAACTATGATATTTTCTGTCAAATGTAAGTCAAATCTAAGAATAAGCAAATGTAATAAAAGCAGCTTTCGAAATATTGGCAGAGTGAAGAACAGGAATTGAAGGACTGAACAGTTGAACTTCTCTTGGGCCAGGGTCTTCTGACGAGAGTTAGTTTGCCGCCATTGTTTAATCAAAACCGAGAATTAATCCTCTGTCTTTTATACTCTCAGAAAATAAGCTAATATATATATATATATATAACTACCAAATACCCAAATTGAGATCAATTTGCAAAAGCTAAGTGAAAGAGTGAAGAAACAAATATCGCACCTAGTAAAATAAATATTTTTTTAATGATTTCATTTTTTTTATTTCGTTTAGATTTATGAATTTTTATATTTCCTTTTTAGTGTTATCTATTTCTTTACAATGTGCGTTTAGTATCATTATTATTATATCTATGTTTGCACGTAAATACAATAGCAAACACAAAAATAATTATTCATCATGTTTCAATTTTTCATTCCAAAAAATGTCTATAGTGGGGCTAAATCTAATGTGGGGATATATAATTTTATATGCGGCCCGCGGAGTTAGGATGCATTTCCAAAGTGGCTCGCAAGATCATTTGGATTAGCCACCCCTGTTGTAGACACTGTTTCAAAAAAAAAAAAGAGGAGACTCGATGGCGTTTGGAATGTTCAGCATCTTGCCTCGTTAGTCGGACTACCTGGTGGGAATTTTCTTGGTTTTTGCTCATACTATACGCAAATGCATGGTACTAAAAGTCCTTCCGGAAGGCACTACCCTTCTTAAGGTATTCAATTGCCTATACTGATTCTGCCTTAAGGTATTCAATGTAGTCAATTACAAATTTCATACGTTTGATAGCCTCAATTTTATCATGTGTTGTGTAAACTCAGATTATAGTAATGCTCCTTATGCATAGAGAGTTCATCATTATCAAGTATCATTCCGTTTATGAAATCCAGTGTGTTATACCATAACCATAGCTAAATATTAAACAAAGGCCTGAATGGCGAGTGTTATGGCGCTCTGGAGCTAGGTGCTACAGGTTTCGGATTCGAGTCCCGGTGGAGTCATGGATGTTTGTAGTGGTTCGGAATCCACTTTAAAGCGTAGGTCCCGGTCTCATATGGCTGTAGAGCGTCACGGAGCCAAGTCAGATTTCTACCTACGGGTGCTCCATCATAACAGAAGTTGCCCCCTTTCTCTCCATTCATGAATAGCAACCTGCACATGACTTCTGTTGTTGTTGTTTCTTATCCCACTTGGCTGGTCAAGCCCACGAGTCCATACATACTCATGATTGAAGGGGAAGGAAGCAGCTTCTGTTGTGATGGAGCACCCGTAGGTAGAAGTCTGACGAAATAAATATAAAAAAAGACTTCATTAATGTTGTAGATTTACAGTTTGTGGAACCCCATTATTGAAATAAATTTTAATAAAATTATGCTAATATTAAGTTTTGAAAATAGTCTCTTGCGAATACCGTATAATTTATAGAGGGTGGAACAGAAAAGCATGGGGGCATCAATATGGAGCTTCTCTCTAGTCGTTCCCCATACCGTTCAAACTACAGTTTGATGTCATTCAAGGTGGGTTCCCATTAGTTGCTGAAATCTCATATCAGAATAGACCAGCCACTCGGAAGGCACTTTTCTGACATCTTAGGTAATCGTCATCCCAATTGGATGAGATTTTAGTATAAGATTAAAAACCAGTTTAATACACCTAAAACGTAGTTAGTGTGGTGTGTTGTGACTGAGTGTCCTACAATGCGGGACGGAAATCCCACGAGTAATCTACTCATGGTTGGAAGGAAAGGGGACAATTTCTGTTGTGATGGATCACCCGTAGGTAGAAGTCTGACTTAGCTCCGTGATGCTGTTACAATCATATGAGACAGGAACCTACGGCTTAAAGTGGATTCCGAACCACTTCAAACATCCATGGCACCGCCGGGATTCGAACCCGAAACCTGTGGTACCGTGCGCCAGAGCGCTAGACACTCGGCCATTCAGGTCCCAAATTTGTGAATGCCAACGGCACGCGGTGTTCCACACATGACTTCTTGCACCCATAAATGTTTTTCCGAAGATCGTATGTGTAAACCTTGCCAATTCTTCTTTTTCCGGTGCAGATTTTTCCTGTATTCATGGTATGTCCTTCCCGCACTGCCGGACACTGAGGATGAGTCACAACAACAACAATAGAAAATAGTTTAAATTTCATTTTTAGTGGTTTTTTTTGAACTATTAAAAATTACCTTTACGGAACTGCGAATTTTCGTCACAGATGTCCTGAATGAGACTTCTGGCACCCGTAATTATTTTAGCGAAGGTTGGATCTGCAATGCTCGCCAACTCTTCTACAGTTTTTCCTGTGCAGGATTCAGCCTCCTGGACCAAGCAGGCAACCTGCTGCAAAGTCTTCCTGAAAACGAATATTTTTTAAATTGCCAAAAATTTTATTTGCTCTCAACCACAATTTTTACTTACAAAAAGTGCAAAAGAGCAAAAAAAACATTTGGAAACTGTAAAAAAAATATGAGGCCTTATTTCGGTTTAGGATGTTAGGCTCAGAATATACATCCGCCAGCATGTTAATTTAAAGTGGCGATGTCTGTAGTAAGGATGGGACTTAAATATATTGCCCTAATATTCCTTCCGAAGTCTTTTAACTACATATCCTAATAGGATAACATCCTCATTGACGCAACAGCCCTTTGGTAGCCCCTACTGGTAGAATTCGAAACGAGATATGTTTTTCTTTTTATGGGATAGGGTTGTCAGTTCTACGCCCAACGCTCAACAGTCATATGAGACCGGGACCTACGGCTTAAAGTGGATTGCGAACCACTACAAACATCCATGGCACCGCTGGGATTTGAACCCAAACCCTGTGGTACCGAGCGCCCGAGGATA